ACGTGTGGTGGGAGGCAGCTGATCAATGTTTCTTTCTTATTGATGTTTCTGTCTCTCTATCCCTCTCCACTCCCCTCTCTCTAAAAAAATAAATTAAAAACCCCCATATTTTAAAAATTAGATCATACCTTGGAGAGGGAATGGGGAAGAGCCTGGAGTTTTGAGAGACTGAGGGTTTACCAGCAGGTGCAGCAGGGAGGTGGAGGAATGGCAGTTCAACACGGAGCAATATGTCAGAGCACAGATTTTCTTGGGAATTGCCAAAATATGGGGCAGGGCACTGAATTTCCCAACCTTAAAGTTTGAAGGGCAGTACTATTTCATTTGATACCTAAGTTAAACCTAGAATTACCAAATTTGAGAGTTGGAAGGACTTCAATCCACTTTTCACCTTTCTCTCAGCATTGTAAAGGTTGTGTCTAGGGATGGAGTGTAATTTCCAGTCTTTGCTGAATGGCCGTCTCTTCCTGCCTTTAGATGACCTTTTCCTCATGGACCGCTCGGAACAATTTTTATAAGATTCATATTCTTGTTAGGAAACTTACTGTTTGGTCCTTGAACTGGGACTTACACCATGGGCTCTCCTGAGTCTCCAGCTTGCTGACTGCAGATCTTGGGACATCTCAGCCTCCCTAACCACATGAGCCAATTCCTTATATTGATTTCTCTTTATATATGCATAAAATCTCCTATTGGTCCTGTTTCTCTGGAGAACCCAGACTAACACAGGGAAATGAAAGACAAAACAGTTCTGCCTAAAGTTTGCTTCTTCACCACTTAAAATGTTGCAATTTATTAAGGCTGACATTTTAAATGGAATGTCTAGCAAGTGAAAAAGTCTGCAATTTGGAAGAACACTAAAGAGCTTCTCTTTTGATAGATGAGATGATTGTTCTAATGAGCAAAAAGAAAAATGTATTGCTGCCTACACACACCTAAAACAAATCAAACCAAACCTAACTACAAAAAAAATTTCTACCCTAACGATTTCATACTATTTTTGAACAAACTGGATGCATGTTATATGAAGGACAGAATGTTGCTTTTCTCCCATATGTTTTTGACTCTCATTTATATGAAATGGGAGTAATTTTCACAGATAACTGGCTGTGCAAGAAAGAATGGCTTGGGATAAACTGCCCTGAAATATTAATGGTAGAAGACCTCAGAATTCTATACAAGATACCAATTCATTGATACCAAGATATCAATTCATGTTCCAGAGGCATATGTATAAGTCCTTTATCTCAGGGAATTAACTTCTACATTAAACTGCTTAAGCCGAGAGACTTCTATGAGTACTTCGCTGAGATTCTAATGGCTTGGTGGGTGTTTGGTGACATTTACCTTAAACATTTTCCGGGCTAAAATTATCTCAGGGATTCCATGGAGCAGAACTTTGGAATCCTAGTTGTCCTTCACCTGTGCATTGGTGAGACTCAGAACTGTTTTTATGAGGGAGGGAAGTTCAGTCTTATCTAGAGTGCTCTTCCCCCTCCTGTTTCCATGTATATAAGTGGAATGCCTTTTTATCAAGAATTTTTCCTGGTTAGGATCCTCATTTTTCATTACGATGTGTCATTTCTATCCCCAGTTGGGCTGATTATGAAAGCATATGGATCTGCCTTTAATTGGCAACAGATTATTTGCACTTTAAGCTCATGCCAGCAAATATAGTGCTTCTTGGTCAATACTAATAAAAAACTCGGTTATGAGATATAATATTTATTTATAGAGCATTGACTGAAGGTTATGTGGCATATTCATTCCTCTAGATACTCTAAAATCAATCCTTGAATTAAGGCAGACTGCCAGAACCCAGCCCCTCAGAGAGCTGCTGTAAATTGGGCTCTGGCATTCACTACACACCTCCAGTGAGGGCCTTAAAGGATATACCTGACAATGATTTATACAGTGGGGAGGTCGACACAGACAGGACATGGTTCACCATCACCCACTCTCTCCTCCTTATGAGGACTCAGAGGAGAAATTCTTTGTCCTAAGAAATTGCTGTGTTGAAAGTATGCACACTCTAAATTACAAGCCTGGTGTTATCTTCATTGCACAGTCTGCTAAGAAGCTCAGAGCCAAATTCATGAACCACCTAAAACAATTTGAAAGAGCTTTATGATGTTTACTTTGTACACAAGTTTCCATACATAGTCATCTGATTTCTAAAGACATACTGATTAGCCATTTTAAAGTAAACTATTCAGTAAACGTAAATCAGTAAATTCACAATGTTGTGCAGCTACCACCTCTATCTAGATAGTTCCAACACTTTTTCATTACTCTAAGTCATCTGACTTATTTGTTTTATTGTTTCTTCCTTTTTCTTTCAAGTCTTTAAAATTAAACCTTGTTGTATTTTATGCATGCCTGTAAATCATAACAATTTTTTTAATGAGGTAGGATTTTAATAAACAAATTTAAAAAAACACACCCTGTGACAAGCCCCAGGGCAGGAGGTTGAGGAGCCGGAGTCGGGAGTAGGAGAAGCGAGAAGTCATCGGTGAGACCCCGATGAAAGAGGTTCAGGAAGGGAGTGGCTAATGAGAGTCACACACCAGAAGCACAAGTAAAATGAAGATGGAAACAAGGTTGCTCAATCCATCAACTAGGAAGCCATTTGTGAAAGCTGTCCCTGTAATCTGCGATTAGAGGTGAAACCTTGTGGTGATCAGGAGGTGGGATAGTCAAGACCCAGACGGCTGGGCTATTAAAGAAAAAGACAGCATAAGGAAATAGAGAAAGAAGAGGCTGGGTTTGAGGGCAAAGCAAGTTTGAGGGAATATATATGTTTTAATGACGAAGCTACTTAAGTCAAACAGTGTAGTAGGTGGAGGAAACTTGAATGATGGTCCTGATTTTGCAGCCAGCTGTAGTGTGACCTTGAGCAAGGACTTCACATCTCTAGGCTTGGTTTTGTTATCTGTGAAACACAGTAGCTTACCTAGATTACATCTATGTTATATTCATGAAAGGAAGGGATGTATAAATAAAATGAGAACAGTAAAGCAATTCTGAAAATATAATACTTTCGTGATAGATATACTATTATTTTTATTAATCTACCTGAAATGTTGATCTTATAATAATAAAGTTTAATGATATCACATTGTTATGATATCCAGTGAGCATTTAATATCAATTATTTCACCAAAAGATTAGTTTTGTTTTATCCAACTAACTTTAAAATGATTACAAAGTCAAAATAGTGGTTGATGTGAATTGTGGTTGATTAAAATTGGCCATAAATTCTTTGATACCTCTCCCATCAAGAGATAAGTTCTGTGTTCCCTCCTCTTGAATTAAGTTGCGCTTCATGACTGCCTCGCCATTAGAATATGAGGAAGTGACACTGTTTCTTGGCCCTTAAGAGAGTGGCAGCTTCCACTGTCTGTCTCTTGCAATACTGACTCTCTGCATCAGCTGTTATGCTGTGAGGAAGCCCAAGCAACCCCTTGGAGAGGCCTATATAGAGAAGAAATGAGCCCAGGCAGCGTGGCTCAGCGGTTGAGCATCAGCCTATGATCTAGGAGATCGCTGTTTGATTCCCAGTCAGGGCACGTGCTTGGGTTTCGGGCTTGATCCCCAGTAGGGGGCATGCAGGAGGCAGCTGATCAATGACTCTCTCTCATCATTGATGTTTCTTTCTCTCTCTCTCCCTCTCCCTTCCTCTCTCTGAAATCAATAAAGACATATTTAAAGAAAAAAAAAAAAAAAGATACCCCAGCCATCAGCTCTGGTTGAGCACTGATTTGCCAGCCATGTAAGTGAACCATTTTGGAAAAAAGATCTTTAAGACCAGTTGAGATACTCCAGTTTATAGAGTCCCTGCCCAAATTTCAGATTAATTGGAAAAATAAATTATTGTTGTTTTAAGTCACTAACTGCAGGGTTGGTTTGTAATAAATGCTGGTTAACATTTATTCACTGGTAATCATGTAAACCAAATATGATCTGTATAGATGGTTCTGCTATCGTGCTATGTATGCATTTGTGAAAAACCTAGTATTCCATAAAATTCCATACTAGTTGTGCACTGGGTTTATGAGGAAGATAGGATTGAGGTGGACCACTCAAACCCTGTAGAATTTTATAAAGAGGAACCCTAACTAAAACAGTAACAATCCTATTAAAAATATCAGCTGTAACACATCTCCACTGGCATTTGCACTTAGAATCACGATGTATCCTATTCACTTGTATCCTGGGCTTCATGTCTCTTGAAGACAATTTTACTTACGGTTTCACCAGAGTATATTAAGTGGAAAGTATAGGGGTTCTTGAAGCCACTAAATCAGCTACTTCTTGCACTAAATAGACTCTTCTTCAGAATTTTCAGGGTGTTTTTTTTTTTTTGGTAAGGTCTTCATATATTAACGATTTCTCTTTAATTGTGACAACGTTTTGTCCTATTGCCTCAAAAATGAACATTTTTGGAAATTCAAAAGTGAACCAAGTTCAATGTTTACTGACACTCTTATTGATCAGTTACATATGACCTAATTAGTGCTAAAGAAACACATAGAGCAGAACAGACAGTATCAATGGTCAGCCTGTATGTGGCAAATAGGAACTCATATACTGATTGTGAAGGCCCGGTCCCCTGTTGCCATAGTCCCTCGTTGTGGACTTGGGCTTATGACCTACCTTGTCCTGACAGACTCTCAGTTTTGAAGCCCAGTAGAGATGGCTATTCTATGAGGGCAGAGGTTGGAGCTGCTTTGGTTTGAGCTTCTTTCACCAGGTCCACCAGGAAAAGCCTGTTAGTGCTCTCTGTGATCCTGCAGACTAGAGCTGAGGGAAGGACACCAAGGGTGTCCTCCTCTTCAGAAGAGGGTGGTTCAATGGACTGCTTTCCTGTTGGCAATGCTGGTGTGAGGAAACCTTCTCCTGGGTCAAGGATGACTGTATCATTGGTCTTTGAGGTAGTGTCATAAATTGATTTCTCAAAGAGGATGTTGTCTAACATAGACTTTGTGGGAAGGAAAAACTCACCAGGTAGACTGTGTCTTTCTCCATCCACTGTTTCAAGCCTGGGTTGACCAAGAGGAAGTTCTGGACTCAAAGTAGCATCCTGAAGAATGAATTTAGAAAGACAGATGTGGAGAAGGGATAATTTTCTGTATATGAAAAAGGCTATAATCTATATATATATTTTTCATTTAAATTTAAACAAATAATTTTAATTGACTTGAATCTACTGTGGATTCTGATATAGGTTCTGATAAGAGAAATATGTCCTGAACAGGATGCATGCATTAAATACGGTGGTGAAATACAATCTATTGACTTCTTGGCTAATTGAGTCTGCCTGTGCAGGGTTAACTCATAACTGAAATACTCTGAATTATGTCAATCATGTTTGAATTTATGAATTCTTTATTTAAAGAGGTAATAAAGCACAGTCAGCATTTCCATTTATGAATACCCCAGCAACAACTTTTGGCATAAATTAAATGAACATAGCTTTAAATGAAACATAAAAACTATTACTGAATTTATTTTTACTTTCTAAGACATTAATTTGTACTTATGACATCCCCATAAATACATATATAGATAAGACCTTAAGACTTAATAACAAACTTACGAATTATGTTTATCTTTATTTCTGGAAGTCAAAGTTAAATAACATATTCTGCTTTAAATATTATTTTCAGTTCATGAACATGTGTTTATTTTATCAAAAACAGAACAAATCTTGACTCTAATTAAAACAAAGATCTGAAATTGAAGTAAACTTTAAATTTTAGGATATTTGAAATGCAAGTTGTTTTATATTTCATGAATACATGTACTGAAAGTGGGTAATCAAGTACTGCCTGTAAAAAGCAGTAATTAGTACTACAGAGGAGAGTTTTCTCTGTTTAGTCTTTAAGTTGATTTTTTTTTTTTTTTTTTTT